CTTTACGAGAAAACAAATCACCCCTACCAGAGATCTATGAAGACTGCTATTAAGATGGCAGTTGAAAAGATTTTAGAAAAAAGTGAGGTGTTACAGCATGCATTTGAATTTATGGCGGCTGTTGCCCCAGAATTCATATCACTAGAACACGTTATCAGCTATGTACGTCAGTGCATGCCAAATATGGAAAAAGAGAATGTAGCTATAGCCATTAACTCATCCGCCCTCATCATTACTTCCGAAGGAAGCTCTAAACAACGGTCTGTTCGCGTTCACAAAGTTGTCTATCATGTTCTTCAAACCGTCTATAAAGTAACATTCCTGCAACCAGTCGATGAATTTTCATTTTTCATGAAACTCGTCAACGTATTTTCTTACATCAGGGACTTGGGCGAAGATATAATAAAGTTATTTCAAGAAACAGCTCCTCTAATTCACCACTTTGTATTTTTGACGGAAAAAGTGAAAGATTATTTTGAAAGGCATCAAATTTTAAAGGTGCTAAATGAAGCAAAGCATTATGGAGTACATTATCAGTGTACTAAACTATTTATCCATCAACAATACATTGCATTTGCCAAGTTCCTTGTGGCAACTGTTTCTTATGTATGTAGAGAGAACGGGAAATATAGCACAGCAAGAACATTATGTGAGATAAGCTACTGCCTCATTCAAAACGGCCACAACAGCGAGGAAAGTACATACGGCAGCAATCATCCTGATGTGGCTACAACGTTAAATAATTTAGGATCAGTGTTGGACAACCTCGGAAAACTTGATGAAGCGAAAGATTGTTACGATAAAGCACTGGCAATTTACGAAAGCACTTACGGCAGCAATCATCCTAACGTGGCTATAGCGTTAAATAATTTAGGATCAGTGTTGTACAAACTCGGAAAACTTGATGAAGCGAAAGATTGTTACGATAAAGCACTGGCAATTTACGAAAGCACTTACGGCAGCAATCATCCTGGGGTGGCTACAGCGTTAGATAATTTAGGATCAGTGTTGTACAAACTCGGAAAACTTGATGAAGCGAAAGATTGTTACGATAAAGCACTGTCAATTTACGAAATCACTTACGGCAGCAATCATCCTGAGGTGGCTAATACGTTAAATAATTTAGGATCAGTGTTGGACAAACTCGAAAAACTTGATGAAGCAAAAGAATGTTACGATAAAGCACTGGCAATTGACGAAAGTACTTACGGCAGCAATCATCCTGAGGTGGCTACAACGTTAAATAATTTAGGATTAGTGTTTGGCAAACTCGAAAAACTTGATGAAGCAAAAGAATGTTACGAAAAAGCACTGGCAATTTACGAAAGCGCTTACGGCAGCAATCATCCTCACGTGGCTACAACGTTAACTAATTTAGGATTAGTGTTGGACAAACTCGGAAAACTTGATGAAGCGAAAGATTGTTACGACAAAGCACTGGCAATTGACGAAACCACTTACGACAGCAATCATCCTGAGGTGGCTAAAACGTTACACAATTTAGGATTAGTGTTGTACAAACTCGGAAAAATTGATGAAGCGAAAGATTGTTACGACAAAGCACTGGCAATTGACGAAAGCACTTACGGCAGCAATCATCCTGAGGTGGCTACAACGTTAAACAATTTAGGAGTAGTGTTGTACAAACTCGGAAAACTTGATGAAGCGAGAGATTGCTACGACAAAGCACTGGCAATTCAAAAAAGCACTTACGGCAGCAATCACCCTATGTTAGTTAAAACATTATATAATTTAGAATCGCTGTTAAAGGAACAAGGAAAAGCGGATAAAGCCAGAACGTTTCGCGAATGAACCTTGGCAATCATCAAAAGGGACAGAACTTAGCATTGAAAACAATTAAGATTAAACGCACNAAACATAACTTTTTTTATAATAGTCAAAATGGTGGAAACTAGCAGTAATCTAGTGTGGGCTGTGTCGTTGTTCCTAAAATATTCGAAATATACCCGGCCGGCCTGTTGTAAGAGAAACGCTTTGTAAGTTTACGCTCTAACTACGCTTAGTTTGCGTAGCTCATTTCATATTTTTTAGGCTGCTCACGAAGGTTTCTGTTGTCAATAGAATTGTTCAAAATGATAGTGGCCGTGGGCTACTGACTTCCTTATATTCACTGGTCCGGGTTGTTCAAAGCTCAATTGGAGCTAATTCTGGGCTAACTCTTCAAGTAAAAAACCTAAAGATTTAACCCCCGGCCTGGGTTAACGCTAATCTTATATTCAACAAGTCGGCCCAGAACGACAATCTCAAGTTGGTTCAAAAACACATATAATTTTTACCAACATTTTTCAACAATTCACAATGAATAAACATCTTATACAATATACAATGTTAGCGAGAAAGTGCGATGTTCTGTTCATCGGCGTAGCAGAGTAGTAGGGTAGTGGCGTAGTAGTGTAGTGGTGTAGTGGCGTAGCAGCGTAGTAGCGTAGTAGCGTAGTGGCGTAGTGGCGTAGTAGAGTAGTAGCGCAGCAGAGTAGTAGGCTATTTGCGTAGTGGCGTAGTAGAGTAGTAGCGTAGTAGCGTAGTAACGTAGTAGCGTAGTAGCGTAGTAGCGTAGTAGCGTAGTAGCGTAGTAGCGTAGTAGCGTAGTAGCGTAGTAGCGTAGTAGCGTAGTAGCGTAGTAGCGTAGTAGCGTAGTAGCGTAGTAG